GCCCAACGCCGCTCCGACCAACGCCGCCTCCGCCAACTACCCCTTTGTCAACGCCATCTCCTTCGAAGCGTCTCCATCAAACTCAGCCTCCACCACACTACCCCTCCGCAACGCCGCTCCCCGTCCCCACCCTCCGCTGCCTCATGCTTACACTTTCGCTACCGCCCTCGCCGTCACCCCGTCCTTCACGCGCCCACGCACGCCAGGGCACCGTTAGAGCATTGGGCGGACGAACTTCAGCAGTTGGGAACTTGTTGCAGGCGCAGCCCCCGGACAGGTCGCGGAACGGCGTGGGCGAGGGGCGTGGCGAGGCGTGGCGGGGCGCGACACCGCACCGGTGGCCCCAGTGGCTGCTCTCCGGGCCAGCAATTTCACCCCCTTTGCGCTATCGACATGTGGTCGGCCGGCCGGTAATCCCCGGGTTGTTTAAGTTGCGGAAGCTCTACCGTGAAATTGGTTCTTGGCCGTGCTATTAATAACATAAACTTGGCCGAAAGCAGCTGAGTCGGGGATATATGTTTATTGCGTGCTGGACCTGCCTGGGCGTGGCTGCCGCGCCGAAAAAGCGAACCGGTTCGATGTCGTTCGTGATGAATGGGCTTGCTCGTTCCGGTTTCATTCATTTTCGGCTGCAATTACACAGTAACATCGATTTGTACCCTATTGGTAATTCAGCACTTGAAACCTAGTTACGAAGCGTCAAATGGGAACGGATGCAGACAAAACTATTCCGCATTCTATTCTACGAGTGCAGCTATAGTTATGTAGAGTTTATTGGTAATGGTCATGAATTAACAATCAATCTGACATACTAATTCTTTACACTCCGCAGTACTTTAAAAACGAGTACCTATTCAAAAATGCAGTCGCTGGTTTCACCGCGCTGGATTTGTACCTAAGCGCTGCCTAAATGGATGTCCATAATGCGAAGAGATGTTTCGTTGACGAGTGTACTAAACATGTGACCAAGTGCGTGAATGTTTCATCGTTGTGACACCGCTAGTCGGTTTGTTTCGACATGCGGCAAGCGTTACGAGCTGCCCTTCACTCGCCTGAAAGCGGGCTAGGGGACCTGTCTGTCAATTCGGATGCGGCAGCCTCGTGGTATGGATTTCGCATCAAGCCAGCGGCGCCCTCCCACTCTGTGAAAGTTAGCCAGCTGTTTCGGGTGGCCATAACAATAAATACCGTTAATAGCGAGGTCGACCAGTTCAACTTTGGATGACGTCATTTCACTTTTTGTTCTGTCGTTAAAACCTACAGATTGCTTGTATTTATAGGCTTTATGACATTGGTTTAGTGGTGGTAAATGCGCGCCCTTTCGGTCGCGGGGTGGCGTAACCCTCGTTTCGTGTCAAGCACGATGTACTACGAATGAAAATATTCTCTACGCTGGAAGACATTCTTTAATATCTGCACCGAGCTTAAAGTTCTTATGTTTGAAATGGGTGCTTTTCATTGGATATTCAATTTATATTTCATATACGACTCGGGAAACAACTCACTTTTGATGCAGAATTATCATGCGTTCGTTTTATATTCAAATGATACTTAAGTCAGATTCGGGAAAAAATGTAATGCATTTTAAAGAACACTAGCTATTCAACTCAATTAACGATTTCTTAATTAAAATAATTTAGCTAGCTACAGAGAAATATGCATAACCATTTCTGTATAAATATGCAAAATGTGCATTCAATATACATTAGAATTTCTTTCATTTTTTTGAGTTTGATAAAGTGTTTTAAAATTGTCTCGTGTCTGTTTACAAGCGTGATCAATGGCGCAAACAATTTTAGTTTGAAAGTTCTAATAATCATCAGAAAATAGTTATTGTTATAATTCACATTTGCGTACATTTTACAATACGTTCTCAGTTACAAATAGCTGGTCGGATTTATATTAAAATAAGGTTAAGGTCGACTGTGATACCAATAGATTTTAACTTTATTTTTGTTATCTCAGGATCATCTTTATACTCTTAACGAAAAACTGTATCACGGTCACCTGATCCTCTTCATATCTCAATCTTTATCACCAAAGAAATAGAATAAGAGACATACCTATGAGTTTGTATTACTTTTCGCTCTTGCATCACATTTAGAATATCTGGGAAGTATCTTGAAAAAAAAATAGGAGTCATTGATTATTTTTATTTTACTTGTTTCCTGTGCCCGAACCAAATAATTCCACATTCATTTTGTAAATTGATTGATCGTTTTGTTTATCTGGGCGCGCAACTCTTAGGTCGTTAGTCCTGTAAGTGTAGTGCATGTTTTTTTTCTTCGGGGGGCACAGCGGGGCATCGCCCCGGCAGGAATAAGCTCTAACCTCCCAGCATGTGTGAGAGTCACGTGCATGGAAGTGTGAGTAGAAGGGCGTGTAAGTGTCGGGCGAGGAGAGGACAAAGAAGAGATCGCCCGCGGCCTGTGGCCAGTTCGTTCGGGCACTGCTTCGGCATTCGCCCTCGTTGTGCTGGTCGGAGAAGCCGCTGCTCAGACGGGCGCTTAATTTGGCTTAACTATCTACCTAGTGGCGAAAATCCTGCCAACGGCGGCACTGGAAACTAGAACTTCTGGTCAAGAAGCACTGCTTTGATCTCCTTTGCTACCCCTCCCAGAATAAAGAAATTGTAGTTGTTTTTTTTAGCTTTCTTCCCCTTACTAATGCACATATTTCTTGTTACCTTTCAGTTAACCTTCAAAAATGTATTGATTACAAATTCGTTTCCAAAGCGACAATTGTTATTATATTGTGAAGTGTTTACTAAATTTTTAAGCATACACGTAAAACTATGAAATTTTCATTTCTTGCTGTAAGAGGTTCAATGTGTGTCCGTTTTTGACTTCAGCCCTTCTCTCTGGTAACTTTCTACCCCGCCATGGCGTTTGTTTATGACAAGACCAAGGGGAGTTGGCAAAAAACATCCACGACGCCGAAGCTGTAAAAAGCAGACTGCCTGATAAAACGCGATCATAACGCGCAACGGAGCTGTAAACGACCTATCGGTAACCGGCAACCAAACAAATACTCTGAGCGATATCGTGACTCTTTTAAGTTTGAACGCATCTCAGACCATTGAGCCAAAGCATTAGATCTTGGGTGCGTGGCTTCGAAAGATATCAAAGTGTAAAGAGTATAAATGAGGTAGAAAATAAAATGACATCCTACTATGTATCGATAATACCAGCAACTGTAAGATACACTAAATACGAGAATCGCGTTGCATGATGTGTTCTCTGTGACCTTCTCTGTACATTTTCACACAAAATGTCCTGGATTTATGCAATAGTTTTCGCATTTAAAACAACTCAACAACTGTAACTGTTTTATTTTCAAACTCATACATTTCAAGTTTCCATTCTTTTTAAATTTTTATTTTTGTAACAATCTAAAGACCATTCCCAGAACAGTTTTTTTCTATTCAATTTTATACTGAAACGAGTTTTGTTGCTGGAATTTCTTGCTGTCATATTAAAACATCTGTTAAAAAGGCATACTTAGTGTTTCAAAATGTTATACTTATTACAGTTCATCTTTAACGGCATTCGTCTTTGACAACTACCTTGGAACGAAACTGAGTACAATAAAGCTATTGAGCTACTTTCTTCACCTCTTAATTTCGAGTTTATTAAATATATAAAGCGCTCTTCTCGGGAGCAGCCATGCGTGAAATTCGCCTTAAATGAACGACTGAAACGCTTTTGTTACGTAACTTGCCTAGCAGCACTGGCGGCGCCCGTAACTTTCGCAAGTACGACAATGATGAAGACGAGTGAGCTTCTGCGCCCATTAGGGCTCCTGGCAGTCTCAGAATTGCTCCGCATAACTCCTCTACAGGACGCAAGCACTACGTTAAAAGAAAGTCTTCTGGTAAATCTTGAATGACAGTAAGGTCTCAGCGCAAATCTTATTTGTGTTTTCCCTAGCTATTCACGGTTGTTATTATCTCTGGCATGCATAGAAGAGAACTTAGAGATGTTACTAAAATACTATTGCATTAGTGAAATGAAATACGCTATGATGTTATTTTCACATCAACAGATACGAAAAAAAGCATGTAGAGCATACATTGAACAATCTTCCTTATTATCGAATTGGGTTTTCAAATAGAAGTATTTGTAGTAAGGCCATTTTCAATTTAGTTGAATACAGTATGAATTATTAAAAATATTCCGTAAATTTGTGTTGCAATGATTTGTTGTTGTTATTTAATTTATAAAAACGATCCTCATCTTCGACTGTATGAAAGAATGGCACTACTCGTGTGACGTCATTGGTAAAGAGAAGGCCTTGCTTAGCGGGAGCCGGCGCACGACGACTCTCTCCGCGAGCATTGCCGTGGCGCCGAGGCACGTCCACTCAAAAATGGGGCTTCGGAGGAAAGGTGACACACTCGTAAAGGCGGGCTGAGATGAAGTCTTAGTGCGGACACTAAAGGGTGATGAGTTCATTTAACTGCAGTCGAGTACGTAAACCAGGAGACACGGCCGCGCACGGTTTATTGTCTATAAATACGTGTGGTGACTCAGCTTGCAGCGGGCGCTTCGAAGCTCAGGCTCTCCAGAGAGAGAGAGAGAAGAGAGACATTTGGAATGCTCTAACCGAGCAACGATGTCATGCATTAGGTAACCGCGAAAACGTATATAAAGTACACCTACAGATATTAACACGCGTTCTAATTTTATGTACAAAGTCCATGTCCCTCACAATAGGTTCAAAAATTATAGTTTGATGAGTTTTTAATGCTTAACTCAAAAGAAATGATTTTGTTCTAAAGTAATGAAAGTATATGCGACTCAAAATAGCCTAGATTTCAAGTTGTCGATATTATGTGCTATTTATGATCAACATATTCCTGACGTAAAATATTGTTTCTCTTTTGAACAGTTAATTGTAAAGGCGTGAGAAACTTATTTAATCGTTTCCCTATCTCATTTTTTCCAGCTGACGGGCCACCTCTACAAGATACATTCGCGTTAGAGGATATAATCTTTATATCAAAGCACAAGCCAATATCGAATATAAGAGATGTGAAACGTAAGTTAACTATGAGTTAGTATTAACCTAAGAGACATATTCTGGTATGAAAAAAAATCCTTTGGTGTTATCATCAGTTCTTGTTTACTTCATTTGAAGTGTTTGGTCCTAGGGTACTCATGTAATAAAGATAAGCACCTCTTAATTACAAACCCAATCGTATTAAAAGTCTAATGATACTTGATTTCGATTATGCAAGAATCGTATACACAATCAATATATATTTCTTCAAAAATAGTCAGTAACCTGCCAATGTTTATTTGTTCTATAGTACAAAGCTATGGTAAAAATGAATCAATTCCAAATGAATTTGGTTTTTGATTTTTTTTTCATAGACTTGAAAATTCTAATTATTTAGGGAAAACACATAGCGAAGAAGTTTGATAAGGCTTTTATCTCAGATGCCTGTTAAGAGCCCCGAACGAAGTTTTGAAGTGATTCAAGTTGAAATTTGACCATTTCAAGTGCGTCATTGGCACATATGGAGATTTTCTGTGCTAACAAAGGAAGTGTTTTGAAAACTCCAGATTATATCTGTATCTCACAATAAGAACGGTGGCGTGCGCTATTTTCAAGTGCCGACTTCATATGGGGATTGCCACCAAACAGAAATCAAATAGTAAAATAATGAATTTGTGCTGTTTCCTTTGAAAACTTTCTACACTGACAATTTATTAATTTATTTACGGAGAATAATTATTTTTCTGTCTTTATATGGAAGCACATAAACAAACAGGTATCAACGTTAGATCAAGTAGATCAACTTACTAACAACTTATTGTTGTTGACGCTTAACACA